CGGGGCCCCCGCCCACGCCAGTTAAATGGGCCGGCAGAGCGCAGCCCCCGGAAACGGCGAGCACTCTGGGGCTGCAGGCACTTCAGGCAACAACGAGGCTGCGCAGGTAACCGAGTAGGGCTGGCTGGCCAAGAGAGCTGAGGGGCGTGTTGCCCGCCAAGCGCAAGCCTCCCTTTGGCTAGGCGGTCCTTGTCGTACTTGGTATCCGGGCTGAATCCGGAGGGTCTCAACCGATCATGCTGTCCCGTACAACCAACCCCTCATCGGGCGGCTGAGGACGTGGAGACCCCGAGAAGGGTGGGGACTTGCCCAGGTTGGCCGGGGTAGTGCTGCAGCAGACTCCATCATCTGCCACATGTGACAGGATCCCGCTCGTCACCGAGTCCCTGCCTGAGTGCAGGGTTTCCAGAGCGATGGTCCTGGTCATGTGTGATGCCCAGAATGTGCTCTCTGAAGGGAGGCAGCTTGGGAGAGTCCGGCCCCAGCCCAGAGCCAGCGATTTCTAACGCAACCTACCCGGCCCTAGGCTGTTCCCAGCCACTGCTTTCCGTAACCAGGCGTCAGCCCCCTGAGAGCCCCGAGGTCCCTTTCCAGATACTGTTCTGTGTGTAGACTTGTCAACAAGCCCTTCTTCCCCCAGAGAACACCATGGCTGAGCAGGTGGCCCTGAGCCGGACCCAGGTGTGCGGGATCCTCCGGGAAGAACTGCACCAGGGCAACGCCTTTCACCAGTCCGATACGCACATTTTCATCATCATGGGCGCATCGGTGAGTCTCCCCTGCAGGCCTCACGTCCCAACAACCAGACTCACATGTGATGTGCACAGCCTTCCCCTGCTGAGTGTTAAGGGGCCACAACGGGCACTGCAAGCTTTTGTTGGCTCTTCTTGACGGCGGCCCCTGTCTGGGTGCCACTGTCGTCATAGCACTGCACAGGGTCTTTGTAACAGAAAGGCATTTTTTCAGCCTGCATTCCCTTGAAGGTGGACCGCCTCCTGTGCTGCCCAGAAAGCTGAGGCGCCGCTCTTTCTGGGTCTTTTTCTAAGTCGTTTGGAACTTGACAAACGTCACCCAGTAAGTTAGTTCCAGAGGTAAGACCTGAGGCCTGATCATCATCTTTTGCTGTGACGTCACAGTCCCTGGGGACAAACACTTGGTCTTGTTTTTAATGCAATATCTTTGAGAACCCCAACCTGTAAGGCCCACTGAGGAGCTGTTCCATGCACTCCACATTTTGCTTTGATAAGAAAGGTACCTGGAAGGAACAGGCTGGGGGGCAATGGAGTGGGTAGTGCTAAGAAAGCTGTGGCCTCGGTGTGCTGAATGGGAATACGGTCTGCCTGCTCGGGACACGTGCCGGGGCTCAATGAAACTGCAGCCAGGGCCGCCTCTTGAATGCCACCAGGCACCTGCTGGCCTTCGGATGGCCACCTTTGCCATTACCTGAGGGCCTGATGGGGAGGCGCCTGTTCTCTCCATCTGCCACACTGTGGGCCCCTGCCCCCCAGGTACTGGAGGCAACTGGTGGCCCCTCATTCACAAAGAACAACCTGCCGCCGCCCTTTGCAGTGCCTGCTCTGTACCTTCGTGTTTCTGGTCAGAATTCAGGAAGGAGAGCTAGAAATCACGAGAGGCCAGCGAGCTGGAATGAGCCGGGATGCAGGGCAAGAGCCAGCACACGAGGAAAGGGCTCTGCCCCATGCCACACCCGGCAGCCCCGGACCTGGGGAAGGAGGGCGTTGTCCATCCCTCCCAGAGAGGTGAGCCCTATCTGCATGGGCCACGAAGCTTTAACACCTTGCACCCTGGCTGTGGCCCCCAGAAAGAGGCTCAAGGAGAAGTTCCTCAGGATTCTTTCGCCTCCTTCCAACGGCCCCACATGGGCTTGTTCCAAGGACTTGCCCACAGAGCGTTCCAGGCCCCACCCACATGGCTTAGTTTCCTTGCTACACAGTCTTGGCTCTTATCATCAAAAGTACCCAGCCAGGCAGGCTGCGTGACCTGGGGCTTCTGAAGGCGTGCCCAGGGCTCATGGGCTCTGCCGCTCCTTGCCGTCTGCCTATGGCCAACCTGGGGTGGTGACGGTGGCCGGGTGCCATCGAGTCAGTGTCCGACTCCTGGCAACCCCGTGTGACAGTAGAACTGCCCCGTCGGGCTTCCTGGGCTGTGATCTTTCCAGGGGCAGGTTGCCAGACCTGTCTCCCACAGAGCCCCTGGAAGAGCTGGACCAGCCAGCCTTTCAGTTCACAGCCAAGCGCCTCGGCATTGCATCCCCAGGGCTCGGTAGCCTGGGCTTAGGCCGTTCAGGAAGCCACTACCTGAGGTTCCAAGGCAGAAACGGGGCTGGCCCAGCACTTGGGTGGGGCCTCTCAGAGCCTGGGGGATTTGCTCTCCTCTCCTGCTTAAGGGGCTGGAGCCGGGTGGGGGGCTCTCCCTAAATGAGGGCACCCTGTGAGGCCCCCAGTCTGTGCTACGGGAGGCAGGCAGGGAGCGGCATGGTCTCACCCATTAGCCGTCACAGGCCTCGTGCTAGGCACCAGGCAGCACCCGCACCACAGCATCACCACGGTCCTTGCCCTCACGCCCTGTGCGCCCTGGGAGGCTGCGGAGAGCACGCGAGCTCAGAGCAGGACCTGTGATATGAGAAACAAACAGGGCTGGGAGGGGCCCGAGGCTTTGAAAGGCAGGGTCGGGCTCACCGCTGGGGATCCACCAGGCAACTGAGGCCTGCCGCTCGAGGCCCCAGGGGACCTTCCGGCCAGAGAAGAGCAGAGGCAAAGCCCTGAGTCCGAGCCAGCGGGACTCGACCTGGGAGTTGACAGGAGGCCGGTGGCTGGCAGGCCCAGAGCCTGGGCAGGTCGGAGCCGCGTGCCCGTGCTCTGCCCTTCCCGCCCCCTGCCACCGCTCAGCCCCCCCTCACCCACGGCTCAGCTTCCGTCCTGGGGGCAGCCCCCGACTGCTGCCCGGTTGCACAATGGGCTGTGAGCCACTTGCTGCTTGCCTGCTGTGTGACCACTTCCCCCATCTCGGGCCTCCCTTCCACCCCCACCTCTTCTCAGGAAGGGAGTGGAAGGGCTCACTCTCCCAGTGGCAGCGATCCCAGCCTGAAGGGCCAGGAATGGAGGAAATCAGCTCTCCTTGAAGACCAGCGTGGGGGAAAGGACCTTGGACTTGGAAGGCCCTGTCTTCCCTCGTCTGATAGGCCCTCCTCAAGGCTAGCCAGTGGGTCTTCCCCCACCCAGGGGGGGCTGGGGACATCAGGACAAGATGGATTCCCCTCCACATCCGCACCAAGCCCCTAGCCTCTCTGGGCCTCAGTTTCCCTACGTGGACCTGGACGACTTTGGCCCGCCCCACCTGCTGGGCTCCGCCCCTTCCTCAGAAGGCCTCAGGGCTGACTTCCCCCTTGGTGATAAGCATCTTGCTGTGTCACGGTGACACGGCACTCCCCAAAAGCCCTGTGACTCACAGCCCCCAGGGTGTAGGAGGGAGGCCCTTTGTCAGGGTTTCAGCCCTGCTTACCCCAACCGGTCCCCTGCTTCCTTCTCCCAGGTGGCCAGCGGCCAGCGGGAGCCGGGCCAGGACCGAGGCTCTCTCCCAGCATGCTGGCTGCTGCTTGACCCCTGTGACCCCAGGGGAAAGGGTCACCTAGCCCTGCCAGGCCTCCTGTGAGTGACAGCCTGCTGGGGCTCTTTCTACCATCCCTTGCCCTGACGCCCGCCCGAGGGCAGAGTCTGCATGGCTCAGTGGAGGGTCTGTCGCCTGAAGCCCAGCTGTCTGGCTCTGGCTGGAGATCTTAATCATGCCCCTGGGCTCTTGCTGACTCACCAGGTATCCCTGGGCAGGTCCCTTCCTGCCACTGCCCTTGGGCACAATGAAGGGACAGGACCATGTGGGGCGTTCCACCCCACTTCTCCCAAGACGCCCTTTCATTACTCAGTTGCCTGCAGTTACAAAGAGTCCGCTGATCGATCAAGCCAGGAGGTCTCTGAATGGCTTTGCGGGCTCAGTCCTCCAAGGAGGCTGGCAAGGGGTTGGCCCAGCCAGCTCTGTGTCCCCTGGAGGGGAGTGAACTGCCTCCCTTACCTCCCCCCCACCCCCATCGTCCTTGCACCTACCTTTCCTCTCTCGGGGGGGCCTTAGAGACAAGCTGACAATTGGAGGGGCTGAGCTGAAACTGGGCAAGCCGGTTCGGGTGCTAGTTAATCCCAAAGGGTGTGGGTCACCTGTGACCCAGCAGACGCACAGGAGGCCAGGCACAGGCCACCAATCAATGCCCCCGAGTCTGCCCAGACGTCCCCCAGCTCCTGGAATTTGATCGTGCGCAAACATGACTTGGTGCAAGGAAGCCCTTGCAGTTTTGCAGGCCACGGTGCATACTGTCATTTTCAAAGCAACTGATTCTGTCTGAGGAGCCCTGATCATGTGGCTGTTAAAGCATTCAGCTGCTAAGCAAAAGTCGGCAATTCAAACCCACCAGCCGCCCCTTGGAAGAAAAATGAGGCAGTCAGCCCTGTTCTGTAGGGTTGCTAAGAGTCCGAATCAAGTAGGGGATGGTGGGTTGGGTTTGGCCTTTGCTTCCGTGAAGAGTGACAGCTCTGACAAACCCTGCGGAGCAGCTCTGCTCTGTTCTCTACGGGTGCCGAGTCAGAAGCGACTTAGTGGCAGTGCATTGGGTTTGGGGTTCGTTGTTTGCCATTATGTATGAGGTCACAGTAGTAAGTCTCCTTTCTGGTGGCACTGGTCAAAGGCACAGCAGGTAATTTCACCTTCTGGTGGGAACCCAGTTTGTGGCGCAGGTTACAAGTGAACTCGGCACCTAAGCTCATGACACCAAGCCGAGGCTGGGAGTGCAGCGATACTTGCCTCTGGCGAGCTTGCGTGAGCTCGGGGAAGGTCAGACCGCCTACACCACAAAGTGAACCTGGCTGGTTAAGATTCGTGTCTGTAAGCCCTGCGATTAGATTTCCTGAGTTGGAGTCTGAGAACAGCTAATCCTTGTCCCAGCCCGCTGCCTACCTGTGCCCTCCCTGCCGACTCACAAGGCTCCGTGGCTGCGTGGGTGCGCGTCCCTGTGGCAATCCCACGCCCTGGGAATTGCAGGTTTGGCACATGAAAGGGAGGGCCAGCACCTGCTCTACTCCTGTGAAGCGGCCCTTCCTGCCAACCCCTCTTCCACCCGAGGTTTAGAATTCCCTCGCCAAGTTACACGAAACCATTGCATTGTTCAGCTGGCTGCTGCTAGTACGCATAAAGAGGGCGTACTTTGGTCTGTTAACTTTGCCATTGTTTCTTTGAAATAGAGTGTAGGTGACAGAGAGCAGAATGTTAGCTGCACCCCAGAAGCCCTCTACCCCCCGCTTTCCAGTCACTCTACCCGAAGGGCAATTTCTAATCCCGAGGAGTGGTTATGTCGGTCCTCGTACTCTGTGCGGCTGCAGTCCTGCCGTGGGTAGTCCTGGGTGGCCACTTTGCCTCTACATTCTGTGTGAGGGGTCCACCCACATTGTCACGTTTGTTTGTGTCCTCTTGGGGAGGGGCACTGTACACAAAGTCAACAGCAGTGTATAATCAATGACCAAGTTCAACCGGCCACCCAACCCCAACACTGAGCAACATTCACCATTCTTGTTTCAGCAGTGCCTAAGGCATTTGACTGCTAACCAGAAGGCTGATGGGTTTGAACTCCTTGGAAAGTAGTGCTACTGCCTTGGAAACCCAAGGAGGGGTCGCTATGGGTCGGGTCTGACTTGACGGCACATAACAACAACAACACACGTGCACACACGCAACTCAGTGATTCTTTCCCAGATGCCTCTGTCTTTAGGTAAAATTTCTACGTGTTGAGATGCTCGCAGACAATACTCATGATTCTGGGTTTATTGGGGAGCAACAGGCTGCAGTTCCGGGTCAGGAGCTGCTGCTTGCCGTCTGCTGCCGGGCCGCGCTGGGACCTCGCTTTCACTTCCGTGCGTCACCAAGGCCCCGCACGGCCATCTCGCCCCTTCTCTCTCGTCCTAGTGTACCGCCATCTCCCACGTTACGTTGCAGCTCCTCTTACATGCATTCTTGCTCGCTCTTGGTCTCAGAGGGGCCCCAGGTCCAAGGGACACGCGCTGCTCCCATCTCTTCTTGGTGGGATGGCAGAACTGACCAGGCCCCTCGTTAGGGTTGCATGCACCTTATTTGCATAGTTGCAACATGAGCATTTCGTAAGATTCACAGGACCGTGGTGAGAAAGTAAACGTATCACACCACAACTCTGGTTTGCTTAGGTTTGTCCCCAGGAACCATGATCTAGTTGATTCAACTCATAGTGACCCCTCCTTGGGTTTCCGAGGCAGTATCTCTATGGAAATAGATTGCCCAGTCTTCCTTGTGAGGAGTGGCTGGTGGGTTTGAACCGCCAGCCTTCTGGTTAGCAGTCAATGCCTTAGGCACTGCGCCATCAGAGCTGCTTCTAGAAGTTGTTTTAATGCAAGCGGATAGCGTGTACTCTGTGACTCAGCACAACGTTTCTGAGACTGTGTGGCAGGGATTGCCAGCTCACTCCTTTATCTTGCTGAGTAACACCCCATTGTATGAATATCCAGTTTGCTTGCCCACTCACCTGTTGGCTAATCAGAGCCTTTGGGTTGTTCGCAGTTTCAGGCCATTGCAAATCAAAGCTGCTGTGAATATGTGCGTACAAAGTCTTTGATGGACGTGCACTTTGATTTCTCTGGGGTAAATACCTAGGCATGAAATGGCTGAAGCATGTGGTGGTAGTGGGGTGGGGGGATTACGCCATCGAGTCGGCCCTGACTCACCGTGACCCCTCCTTGGGTTGCCGAGGCGGTATCACTACGGAAGGAGATTGTCCAACCTTCCTTCCGAGGAGTGGCTGGTAGGTTTGAACCGCCAGCCTTCTGGTTAGCAGTCAAGTGCCTTAGGCACTATGCCACTACAGCTCCTAAATCACATGGTACGTGGGTTTCCCTCTAGGAGAGATGGGCAAACTGCTTGCTTTCTAAAGGGGCTGCACCAGCTTCCAGCCCCACTAGCAGCGCATTCCAAGGCCTTGTCAGTGCTTGGTTTTGTGCGTCTTTTTGATTACAACAATTGTAGTGGGTGTGACATAGTATCTCATTGTGGTTTCATCTTTCAAACAACTCCTGATCTTGAATACTTTTTCTTGTGTTAGTTGACCGTTCATTTCTTTTACTTCTGAAGTGTCTATTCAAGTCTTAACCATGTTTCAATTGAGTTGTTTTCCTGTTGCATTGTAGGAGTTGATTATATGTTCTGGATACAGACAAGTTTGGTGAATATATTTCCTGGTCTTTGCTTGGTTTGTTCATTTTCTTAATGATGTCTTTTGACATGCAGAAAGTTTTCATTTTGATTCACTTGCTCAGTTTTTATAGTTACTGCTTTCTGTGTCCTAGAAATCTTTGCCTAATCCCATCTATTCAATTTTCAATCTCACATCTTTGCTAAAGTGTCATTAATTCTAATAATTTATTCTGTAGATTTTTTTTTTTTTTTTAATATAACCAGACCAATATCTAGGAGCTCTGGTGGCGTAGTGCCTAAGGCGTTTGACTGCTAACCGGAAGGCTGGAAGGTTGGGCAATCTACTTCTGCACTGATACCACCTCGGAAACCCAAGGAGGGGTTGCTATGAGTCGGGTCTGACTCGACGGCACTTAACAACAACAGTGACAGTTTTGTGTCTTTCCCAGTCCTTGTACCATTTTCACTTTTTTGTCTTACTGTACTGGCTAGGATCACTAGTCAGCATTGACTAGAAGAGCCAGTAGCAAACACTGTGTTATTGTCCCTGACCTGTTTTAAGCATTTCTCCATTGCATGCAATGCTTGTAGGGGTTTTAATAGGTGCCCTTTGTCAAGGTAGGGAAGTTGCCTTTCAGTCCTAGTATGGAAAGTGGTTTTTCTCATGAATAGATGTTTAGTTTTATCAAATACTTTTTCTACATCTGTTGAGTTTAGCAAGGTTGCTAGATTAAAAAATGAGTCGATTGGAGTGGATGGGAGCAGGAAGGCTCTCTGATAGTTGTTCTCCTTTCAGTCTGTTGTCATGATGGCTTTCAATGGTTGGTTGTTGTTTTTTCACATCAAAGCAGCCTTTGCTTTTCCGGCTCGACCTGCCTTGCTTCTGATGGAGTCCCTGGCTCACCCTGCAGGCTTTGCTGTGCCGGGGCTTCCTGTGGGCCTGGGCCTGTGCGGCACACGACTTGGGCTGGGTTTATTCTCCTGTGCCTTTCTCGTCGGGCCCTGGCACCAAGGTCCTGCCGGGCTCCTCAAAGCCTGGGCAGTGTGCCCCGCTCCTTTGTTTGTTTCCGACCGGCTGCCGCACCTCTGGGGAAGCTCTCTGTGCCCGGGCTTATCTCGGCGGGCAGCTTTGTGGCTGCCGGCCTGGTGTCCATGACGGTCACAGTCGGGGATGCCGGGTCCGAGCCTCCTTCCCCGTGAGGTCACACGGCAGCAGGATGGCTCCTGATCCCATCTGGGGGGTGTCCTTACAAAAGGGAAGAGACAGAGACACGTAGAGAAGACAGCCATGTGACCATAGAGGCAGCGATTGTAGGAGGCAAAACTGTAAGCCGAGGAACACTGACGGGACAGAGTCTCCCTCTGAGCCTTAGAAGGAGTCGCCTGAGCCCTGGTCTTGCATTCGCAGCCTCCGGGCTGTGAGAGCATCCACCGCATTCGTCTTCAGCCCCACAGGCCGTGGCACTTTGTTACAGCAGCCCCCAGACACTCATCCAGTCACTGGCCCTCTCAGGTGCCCTTACTCTTTCTTGAGTTCCTCTTGGCAGGTTGGATTGTTCTAGAATGTGTCTGTCTCTCTCATCAGAGTTCTCGCAGTGTTTATTTTGGAAACACGACAAAACAAGGCTTTTGTCTTTTGTCATTAGTCTTTATTCAAACTTTGTTGACCTTTTCTGTTGTTTTCCATTTTAGCAATCTTTGGTTTTTATTATCCCCTTCCTGCCCTTTTCCTGATTTCTTCAGTTGCGCAGTTGCCCCTTACCGTTAAGCCTGTCTTCCCTTCTGTGTAAGCCCTTGTGTTCGTTTCTTGGGGCTGCCGAATCAAAGTGCCACCGACTGGGGGACTGAAGACAGCAGCGTGGGTTCTCGTGGTTCCGGAGGCCCGGCGTCGGACAGGCAGCGGCTGCTCGCCCCAGGTGTTCCTTGGCCGCCCTCGGCCTGGAGCTGCCTGACTGCCACCGCAGCCTCTGCGGGCACATGGCCTCCTCCCTGTGGGGTTCTCTGTCCAAGTTCCTCTTCTCGGCACAGCAGCCATTAAACTTGGCCCCACCCTACTCCAGTCTGACCTCATCTGACCTTGATTGGATCTGCAAACAATCTGTTTTCAAACCAGTTCTGGGTGGACATGGGGGGGGGGGGTCAGCCCAGTATTTTTCAGGCCACAACTCATGGTTTTGATACACACTGGTCCCACGGCCAGTCACTTCTACCATGAATTGAGTTTTCCGTTTTGCTGCTTTAGCCCGTGAGTTGCTTGCAAGTGGGCTTTTTGCTGGAGTTTTTCCTCTGAGCTCATTTGGGGTTTGTCTCCCTGAATCGCATTGTGCTCCCAGAGGCCTCTGCCGACTCCAGCACATTCCAGTTGGGTGAGGCGAGCGCCAGGTCAGCTAGCTCGACGTCCTTGTGCCTCAGCATTGTGCCGGTCAGGCCGTGGCGTTTTGTCTCTAATAGCAAGGCCCCTCCGGCTGCGCACGGGGACGAGAGGAGGCAGCGTGGGGCCGCGTGCAGCCCTGAACGAGTACCCGGGTCTCCCGGGAGGGACCGTCAAGGTCGGGGTGCGGGGCATGGCTGCTCCATTTCTCTCGCTTCGGGCTAAGTCTGTTCCCTTTGCCACAGGGCGACTTGGCCAAGAAAAAGATCTACCCGACCATCTGGTAAGTCTGCCCTCCCGGCGCCCACAGCTGCCCTTGGGACCAGGGCCAGCGCACTCAGGCCTCACAAGGCCGGCTCTGCCCTCAGGTGGCTGTTCCGAGATGGCCTTTTGCCCGAAGCCACCTTCATCGTGGGCTATGCCCGCTCTCGCCTCACCGTGGCCGACATTCGCAAGCAGAGTGAGCCCTTCTTCAAGGTCAGTGGCCTCCGCCTCTGCCCACCATCTCTGCTCCTCTGTCCGTCGCTGGCATTGGCTGTGGGCCAGGGCCACCATGGGACTGCCCCCAGAGGCTGTCAAGCCCTAGTGCTTCTCCCCCCTGTCCTCCCGGCCTGCTGGAACTCCCCGATCAGGGACCAGCCAGGAGCAGGGCTCCTCCGGGACGCATAGCCAGCCGGGATCCCAGACCTTCGCTGCGTCCTCCTGGGGCAGCTCAGCCAGGTCGGGCCGTGAGCCCTGCACACGCTCCCCTGAGCCAGAGCGGGGAGGGCACGAGGCGGTCTGTCTGTCTCACCCAGGCCACCCCAGAGGAGAAGCCAAAGCTGGAGGAGTTCTTTGCCCGCAACTCGTACGTGGCCGGCCAGTACGACGACGCAGCTGCCTACGTGCGCCTCAACAGCCACATGGACGCACTCCGCCAGGGCTCTCAGGCCAACCGCCTCTTCTACCTGGCCCTGCCGCCCACCGTCTACGAGGCTGTCACCAAGAACATCAGCGAGAGCTGCATGAGCCAGACGTAAGCCTGTCTATGCCCTCCCTTCGTGCCACCAGGGCTGCCCTGGCACAGCCACATGGTCCCTCCACCAGCAAATGTTGTTGTTATGTGCCGTTAAGTCAGCCCTGACTCATATAGCGACCCCTCCTTGGGTTTCCCAGGCGGTATCACTACAGAAGTAGATTGCCCCATCTTCCTTCTGAGGAGTGGCTGGTGGGTTTGAACTGCTAGTCTTTTGGTTAGCAGTCAAGTGCTTTAGGCACTACGCTAAAAGGAACCTTTACTGGGAAGGGACACTGGAAACCACGACCCGCCTCCCAATGGCAGTGCCTCCCTGGAGCCACGAGGTGGCAGTGTTGCTCCATGGAAACTCTGCACTGCCTCTGTCCTCGGCCGTCTCCGTTCTAACTCGCCCTGCTCTGGGAGCAGGGTGCCGCGTTAGCTCTGAGCAGTTTCTTGTTAGATGGTGTCTCATTAGGAAGCCTTGACACCCCCATTCCCTACTGGCCGCTGGCCCCTCGCAAGCCACCAGAGACCTAGCACCCATCACAGGGCACGGAGGAGAGCAAGGGTCCCCCTGGGGGCAGGAGTTTTGAGCTGTGCGGTGGGAGGGGCCGGGGAGGTGAGCCGGTGGCCCTGGGACGGGCCAAAGGGGAGCCGGTAGGGCCGAGGGGCCCAGCCCCACTCCTGTGCCTGGCAGAGGCTGGAACCGTATAATCGTGGAGAAGCCCTTTGGGAAAGACTTGCAGAGCTCCGACCGGCTGTCCAACCACATCGCCTCCTTGTTCCGCGAGGACCAGATCTACCGCATCGACCACTACCTGGGCAAGGAGATGGTGCAGAGCCTGATGGTGCTGAGGTGGGTGCCGCCCGCGCACCGGCTCCGCCCTCTGCCGCCCGCTGCCCGCCCACATCTGGCGCCTGGGCAGTGGACGCCAAGAGGGCTGCAGGCCCCTGCTCTGCCGCCTGCCACGGAGGCCCCCGGGCCCCTCACCAGTGTCCGCCCTGCACCCCCACAGGTTTGCCAACAGGATCTTTGGCCCCATCTGGAACCGGGACAACATTGCCTGTGTGATCCTCACTTTCAAGGAGCCATTTGGCACTGAGGGCCGTGGCGGCTACTTTGATGAGTTTGGGATCATCCGGTGAGAGACTGGTTCCCCCGTCCTAGGCGCCAGCATGGCCCTGGGCCCCTCTTCCTGGGCAGCTGGGCAGCTGGACAGGGAGATGGCAGATCAGATTGTCTGGGGCGGCTAGAAAAAGAAGGCCTCCTGCAGCCAAACCACGCCCGCACCCCACCCCGTGTCTCCTTGATCAGGGGCTGGGTCCCTGTCTCCTTCCTGCCTGCGAGGACCTGCAGGACACTAGGAGTCAGGAAGCAGGTTTCAGGGCCCTGGCAGCTGGCCAGACAGGGCAGAGGGCCTGAGACGGGCACATGCCTTTGTCCATCCCCCACCTGGAAATGGCCTGATGGAGCCCTATCTCACCAGAGACGTGATGCAGAACCATCTCCTGCAAATGCTGTGTCTGGTGGCCATGGAGAAGCCTGCCTCCACCGACTCGGATGATGTCCGTGACGAGAAGGTGGGCCGCGTGCCTGAGCGTTGGGGAGGGCAGGACATCCCAGGTCTGCTGGTGACCACTCCCTGTGTGACCCGAGCCAGCCCCCTGTCTTTCTGGTCTAATCTTCCCCATCGGGCAAAACGAGGATGGTCTCGGTGGTCCTGGAGCCCCATGTGACCTGGGCAGAGGAAGTGAAGCCCTGTGGGCACCACCTCCTGTCTGCAGCTGCCTCCAGTCACTGCCCACCCTTTCCTCCACCCAACCTCATTAACCGGGGCCCTTTCTTTCCATGGCTCACTCCCAGGTCAAGGTCTTAAAGTGTATCTCAGAAGTCAAGGCTGACGATGTGGTCCTGGGGCAGTATGTGGGGAACCCCAGCGGGGAGGGAGAAGTGACGAAAGGCTACTTGGACGACCCCACGGTGCCCCGGGGCTCCACCACAGCCACCTTCGCGGCCGTCGTCCTCTACGTCGAGAACGAGAGGTGGGACGGTAGGTCCAAAGGCAGCAGGCAGTCCGCTCCCAGCCTGGACCGGGGTCTCCCTACAGCTGCGTCACCACCCGGTGCACGCACACACGTACTTACTCGTGAGCATCGTCACCCGTGCTCACACGCCCTTTTCACCCTCACACTCGCTGTCACGAGCTTGCACACACGCTCCCACACGTACTTCCTCCCTCACCGCACACCTTTGGTGGGTAGGTACTCGCTCTCGCCCAGGGGAGCCGGGCCCTGCTGCGGCAGCTGGCAGCTCGGGTCTGAGGCTCGCTGCGCCCCGCCCCAGGCGTGCCGTTCATCCTGCGCTGCGGTAAGGCCCTGAACGAGCGCAAGGCCGAGGTACGGCTGCAGTTCCGCGACGTGGCAGGCGACATCTTCCACCAGCAGTGCAAGCGCAACGAGCTGGTGATCCGCGTACAGCCCAACGAGGCCGTGTACACCAAGATGATGACCAAGAAGCCCGGCATGTTCTTCAACCCCGAGGAGTCGGAGCTGGACCTGACCTACGGCAACAGATACAAGGTGTCCCCCTCCTGGGGGCAGGCGGCACTGTGCGTGGGGGCTGCGGAAGGCCAGGGGGAAGTGGGGTGTCACTGACACCCCTCGGTACCCCCTTCCCCCGCAGAACGTGAAGCTCCCCGACGCCTACGAGCGCCTCATCCTAGACGTCTTCTGCGGGAGCCAGATGCACTTCGTGCGCAGGTGAGAAGGGTCACCGCCCGCCACAGACCCTTCACCCTGGGCCGGGCCTGCTGGGGGAGCCGCCTGCCCCCTCTGCACCCGCGCCCGAGCCACTCCCCGTCTCTGCAGTGACGAGCTCCGGGAGGCCTGGCGCATCTTCACCCCGCTCCTGCACAGGATCGAGCGCGAGAAGCCCCCGCCCATCCCCTACGTCTATGGCAGGTGGGAGCCCCCGCCCATCCCCTACGTCTGTGGCAGGTGGGAGACCCCGCCCATCCCCTACGTCTGTGGCAGGTGGGAGACCCCGCCCATCCCCTACGGCTGTGGCAGGTGGGAGACCCCGCCCATCCCCTACGGCTGTGGCAGGTGGGAGACCCCGCCCATCCCCTACGGCTGTGGCAGGTGGGAGACCCCGCCCATCCCCTACGGCTGTGGCAGGTGGGAGACCCCGCCCATCCCCTACGGCTGTGGCAGGTGGGAGACCCCGCCCATCCCCTACGTCTGTGGCAGGTGGGAGACCCCGCCCATCCCCTACGTCGTGGCAGGTGGGAGCCCGACAGGGAGGGGCCGGGCCAGGGGCGGGGCCGGGCTCCCTTTTCTCCTGACGGGTGTCACTCTCCCAGCCGCGGCCCTGCGGAGGCAGACGAGCTGATGAAGAGAGTGGGTTTCCAGTACGAGGGCACCTACAAGTGGGTGAACCCCCACAAGCTCTGAGCGCCTGCCTGGCCCCCTGCTTCCCCGGCCCGTCTGAGCTTCTGCCCCCACCCCCACACCCCCAGGAGGATTTTGGGACCACAGGCCTCAGCCCCACATTCCTCAGGGCCCAGGCTCAGGCCAGCCCACCCTCCCTGCTGCTCAGCCCTGAGCCCCAAGTACATTCCAGAGCCAAAAGCTGTGCGCAGTGACCCTCCTGCACGGGCCCAGGCTCTCCCTGCAGCGTCTGTCTAGCTTCATAACCAGGACAGCCCATCTGTTTGACCCGGAGTCCGGACGGGCGGGAGGGCCGTCCCGGGACTGTGGGCACACTCCTCCCCCACAGCACTCGCAGAGGAGGGGATCTCGTCCACACGGACCTTCCGGGTCACCAGTTGGACCCCTTCACCACAGCAGCTCTGGCCAGCGCCTGCACTCTGCACTCTGGTGCCGCAGGGGAAGCCGAGGCTGCCAGCTGGCCCCTCTCCTTGACCCAGCCAATAAAGCTACCAGCCCACCCACTGTGACCTGCGTCGCCCTGTCTCTCAGGCCCCCGTGCCCCCGCTACCTTGGCATCTCAGGCAGGGCCCCTGGGCGGCCCTCATCCCTGACCCTGTGCCCAGGCCCACTGCTCAGGCTGTAGTTGGGAAGCAGCTGGGGGTCTGCAGCCCAGTCGCTTCTCCCCGCTGCTTGCCCCACCCTCCATCCCAGAGTCACTTCAGGGAAGCCCGTAGACTGCTGACACCCACTGCCCACCCACAGCTGCCACAAGAATTTAGAAGGAAGAGGCACGGGACTTTAGGACCGCCGGCTGGTGCTGGGGGCGGGGGGGACAAGATGGTGCCCTGCTGAGACAGGGAGCGCTTGGGCAAGGAAGAGGTAAACATAGCTCAGGACCCATTCAGGCTAGGGTGCCCATGGCCCATGCGAAGGCACACCCGTGACCTACGGCTCTGGCCAGCTTGATCTTCAAGGCAAAGCAGCACAGGAGCTAGGGACCAGAGACTGGCGGTCAGGGTGTGGGTGGGGCCGTGGCCCGAGGGAGGCCCTCAGGGAGGAGCCTACCTTGCTCCTGGTGGCCCCAGGCAGTCCCTGCTGTGGGTGCTGTGGCCGCCTGGCTCCGGTCTCTGCCTCCGGCTTCACACGGCCCATTCCCGGGTCTGTGTGTCCCTTCTCAGTTCACCAGTCACTGCACTTAGGCCTCACGCCACTAGTGGGCGCCCTCGTCCTGACCGCATTAGCGACAAGCCGATCGTCAAGGAAGGTCCCATTCTGCGCTTCCAGGTGGACCGGGATGTGTTGGGGGGTGCCTGCCCTGTGCGGGCGCGCTCATGGAGCTCCTTGCATTCATAAGCCCGAGTTCTAGTAGGTGACACAGAGAACAAACTAAAGGGCCACGTGCCGACGGGGCGGGGGCAGCAGGAGCGGGGTGGGGCTTACTGGGCCACGGAGACGCCCCAGCCCCTGGGCCCTGCAGGCCCTCTGTGCCCGCCGCGGCTGCTCCCGACAGTCGCCCAGGGCTTCTGCCCACAGCATTCTTGACCCGCCCGGGAGAGCCAGCTGGCCCTCGGCACAGCGCCCCTGGGCTCAGAGGAAGGGCTGTGGGCTGGGTGAGGGGGGGGGGGTTCCTAGCCAGAACCCGGAAAGACACAGACCCGGCCGAGAGCGGCGCTCGCCTGTGCTCGGGAGCCACGTGCTCCCTGCTTTCTCTTGGAAGGGGGCTGCCTGGGAGCAAAGTCACTGCGGTCACCTGGGCCAGGCTGAAGAGGGAGGCAGGGGTGGGGGCAGAAACAGACCCTTAAGTAGGGGCTTTCCTCACTGCACTCCACCCCCTGCGGCCCAGGCCCGGAGCCTGACGGAGAAGCAGCTGCAGAAGCAGGCGGGGCTGCAGCGCCGCTTCCGTGCCTTCCCCAGCCCGCCACGAGAGGGCCCGGCCTTCCGGCCTCCGCGGCCCCTGACCTCGCTAGAGTTGTCTCAGACACCTGAAACTCTCCAGCCGCGGCCCAGAGGCCTCCCGTAAGCAAACCCACGGAGAGATCTTGACTGGCCGCACCTCCTGCCCCCACAAGCGTCCAGGGAACCTAGCAGAGCACTGGGCCTGGGGAAAATCGTCCCCCGCCCACTTGACCCCAGGATGCCCGCTGGCCCTGTCAACAGGGTGGGTGGGTGCTCCTGGAAGCTTAGGAGATCTTTCCACAAAAGGGCAGCAGCTGGAGCCCACTGTGTAGGACGGAGGCCACCTCCACCCGCGGACCCACAGACGCAGGAGTGACCGTGTGGCCCGGGAGAGGGAGGAGTGGGAGGACATCACCCACCTAGTCCTCTCTGGGCGTGCACACTGGGCAGAGGCATGAGGGCTGTCCCTTCAGCTGGGAGAGGCGACACTGCTGTAGCCACCGGAGGGCCCAGGCCGGGGCAGCAGCCGTCAGCTCTGCTCTGGGGGCCCACAATAGGAGAGGCATCAGGCACCAAAAGAGGGGTCTAACGTCTCAGTCCGTTACTGAGCAGAGGGAGGGCGCAGCTCAGATGGGGCCATCAGCGGCTGAGCTCCAGGTCTCTGGCGGTAACGTCAAGGCACAGGAAAGAGGAGGCCCCTGTCACCGCAGCTCTGCACAGAGGCATGAGGGCCCGTGGGGACAGTGGGCGGGCACCGCGGAGGCACGCCCGGACCGCCTCTTCTGCCCCTCATCAAGCCTGCTGTCCGGCTCATTGGGCTGTGGGGCTCTGGGCAGCGTTCCAAGAAGGCCGGCCGGGGGTTGGGGCTCACTGAGTAAGGTTTGTATCTCCTGGTATTTCCAGAGCTCCTTTGGGTTCCGAGTCACTTTCAGGGACACAGGCCGTCCAGTGAAAGGGGCACGTGTCCCCAGCAGGGAGACAGCTCAGACCAAGGAGCAGCCCTAACTGCCCCGCTGGGGTGCAGAGGTGGGGGTGAGGTGTCGAGGCTGGCACAAGGGCAGATGGCCCTGCCTTGGGGCCTCCAAAGCCAAGAGTCCTGATTGGGCCCTTTCTCCTACGTTTAGAAATGGGGAGGTGTCACTTCTGCACCTCAGCCCCCCAAAACCACTGTCCAAAGCATCGAAATCACACCCCAAGAAGAAGCCATCGCAGCCAGGGAGACCCTTTGGTCCCACCCCCTTCCTCGTCCCTGGACTCGTGTCCTGGGGCTGCCCTAACACAGGAGCGCACACCGCGTGGTGTCAGGGTGTGGGCAGGGCCGCGCGCTCGCCCAAGGCTCCAGGGGCGAGTCCTGGCTTGTTCACGGAGCTGCATCGCGACGGCCATCTTCCTCCGTGTGTTTCTGCGTCTGGGTCTCCCCTCACGCTCAGGTCCTGTATGACTTCGCGTTGACCTCTCCCCAGCCCTCTTGCCAAACAAGGTCACATTCACAGGTGTCAGGAGTTAGGATTTCAGCGGATTCTTGGAAGACACACGTTAGCCCCTGACAGCCCCTCTGCGGACTTCAAGAAAGGCGCCCCAGGTCTCCGTGTCGCTCTTGCTCACCTGCTACCACGGCAAATGCACTCCAGCAGTCCGTTCCTCTCCCGTGTCCAGGTTTCACAAAGACCCTCCATTCCCTACCGAAGTCAATGGGAACATGACTGCGTGTGGGATTCTTCCCACACAGAATCTTCCAGAAACAGCACATGACATCCATGTTTACTTCTTCTGTGTCCGGAAGACACAGTCTCCCTTCCTCCAAACCCCAGGGCTTAATCACCAACTAGGAGCCTGCATCCTTCTTCACAGTCCAGGGACAAAGCTTGGGGGACCTGCTGCTTGCCTCTGCAAACCCAAAAGGACCCCAAAATGGAGTGAAAGCACTCTAAAGCCAGCTGACAGGGCTGAGGGCCCCCAACCAGCTCTGCCCAATGCCACGTTCTCCCCCATGACCTCTGCCAGCTTTGCCGTTTCTTGAACATGACTGGAAGACATCTGGGCCTTCTGTGAACCCCCAGCTTGCCTTCCACGGCTGGAGGCTCCGGGCCCACCAGCTGCTGGTGTTCTCCCACACCCACAAGCCCTTTGCGTCAAAGGGAAAGCCCATGATTGCTTTGGTCTCCCTCACCCCCTCTAGGATGGCTGTTAGCACTGAAATGGAACAAAAGTGGTGGCAAGGGTGTGGAGAACTCGGAGTCACTTGCTGGTGAGAATTGGACCTGATGCAGCCACTCTGGAGATCAGTGTAGCCTCAAAGAGTTAGACACGCAGTTATAGTTTGACCCAGGAGTTCCACTCCCAGGTATACACCCCAGAGAAACGAGAACATGTGCACCCACAGACTTGGCCATGGATGTTCATAGAAGCGTGCTTCCTAATGGCCCCAAAGTGGAAACAACCAAAGTGTCCACCAACAGATGATGTGCTCTGTCCTCACAGTGGAATATTCTTCAGCCATAAAAAGAAATGACATCCTCATACGTGCCACAGTGTGAATGAATCCTGCAAACCCAATTACGTCAAATATTCAGACTAGGTGTGGTAGTTGTATTTGTGTGTCAACTTGGCTGGGCCTGGTTGAGTGGCTGGGCAGCTGATGGTAGTTATTCCCCAGGATGAGACTGGCAATCATCTCCATGGTGGGACCTACCACAAGCAGCTGAGTAGCTGCCTTTGGGATGTGGTCTGCTTCCTGTATATAAGGAGAAGCCCTGGGAATGGTCTCTAGCCTATGGCACGCTTGGACCCTGCATGTAGCCGTGTCGTTGCTCAGCAGCCCGCTATGCTCTGCCAACCTTGGGACTTACAATGGACTTAAGTTAATGACCTGCCGTGTGGTTTGGTAACATCAGGACTGTGCCATTTTCCTTGTCAACCTTGGGCTTGTCAGCCTCAGCAGCCAGTAGCTGTCTGAAGAAAAGCCTCTAGCTCCAGTGGGCCGGGAGCAGGAGGCAGAGCTGAAGCCCAAGGCTGAGGGGCTTTCACCCAGCGCCTAGAGCCTGGCACTTTGAACTGGGACTTAAAGCCTCCAAATTGTAAGAATAAGCTCGTGTTTGTTAAGGCCATCCCATTGGTGGAGTATTCTTGTCGGAGCGGCACCGGGGAAGCCGAACACTAGGCAAACACACGGAGACAGAAACCGGGTGGTTGTGGTGGTTGAGAATCTACACAGCAGAACGTAGTAAATCCAACAGTTTCTGCGGGTGCCATTTAGCTACACTGACGACCTTTTTCCAGTTGTGCCACCACT